ATTTCTATTTCATTTGTGTGGATCACCTTTGAGGTACTCTTAGTTACCACAGATCAGATAGAACATATGGTATTTGTCTTTTTGTGACTGGCTAATTTCACTAAGTACAATGGTTTCCAGTTGCTTCCATTTTGTTGTAAGCCTCAGGATTTCATTTTTCACTGCTGTATAGTATTCCATGTTGCACATAAACAATGATTTCTTTATCCAGTCTTCAGTTGATGGTCATCTGAGTTTATTCCGTATTTTAGCTAATGTGAATTGAGCTGCCATACACATGGGCTACAGAGAGCACTTTCATATGCTGATTTCATTTCCTTCAGATAATGAGAAGATAAAATATTGGAGGAAATTAACACAGGTAAAGCTTGTAAAGAAATGTAATAAAATTGGTACACATCAGGCAAGAATAATCAATAAAAACCGAGTTCCAGCCACAATGAGGAAACTGGAGTAAAAAGATGAAAATAACGATCAACAGGTATCAGCAAACAAGGATAAATTGGATAAATTCCCAGGAGTGGAACAGCTGGGTCATTTGGCAGGTCCATCTTCAGATATCTGAGTTATCTCCATACTGTCTTCTACAGTGTCTGCACAGTTTACATTCCCACCAGCAGTGGATTAGGGTACCTTTTCGCCTACATCCTCACCAGCATTTGCTTGTTGATTTCTGTAAGAAAACCATTAAATTTCATGAAGTGTCTTGAACAACTACCTTTGGAAACTCATAGCTTTTTTTCTTAGACACAAGAAGTTGAACAATTATACTTAATCCAGGTTTTTATTTATACATGACTCATTGTTCTTACATGGGCATCTTAATATTATTAAAGTCAATGTAAGTATAATTAAACATGGATGTCTTTTCTTCATTCTTTTTCTCTTTTAGAAACATGTCCTGAAAGAGGTAAAGGATTCCATTTGCCCAGGTTCTTTAGGACTCAAGAACAACACAAAATGTGCTGTTTGCTCTGTTTGGGAACTTGTGTACAGTGGATGATATATCAGAGTGCCTATGTTCATGTTCTGACTCCAGTCCTCATTCCAACTTCCTGTAAACATCAGCCTAGAAGAGGCAGCTGATTTCTGAAATATTTGGGTCCCTGCCAACCTCATGGGAACCCTGGAATGAACTGAATTGCAGGCTCCTGGCTTCAGCCTGGCTCAGCCCTGTCTGGAGCTTTTGAGGAGTGAACCAGCAGATTGAAGCTTCCCTTGACTTTTTCTGCCTGTCTCAAATTAAAAACAAAAAATTATATCTCTCATATTAAGGACCTGGAAACTTTAAATATTAATGTACAACAGTGAGATGATAGAGATATTGAAACTTGTAACATTTTTAAAAACCCAATATGATGCATAAATCTGAAAGAATTATAGGAAAATTTTAAAAATTCACAGAATGGGCTTCATAATAGATTGAAGATGACCAATGGACAAATCTGTGAATTTGTAGATAAAACAACACAAATTACTCAGTTTCAAAACCAAATAAAACAAAGAACTGAACTTCATCAGTTTTAGAAGAATACAAAAAATTAGAAATGTAGAAAGACAAGAGAAAGTGTATTTGACTGAAAACAAATGCGAAAAAATAATGGTAGTGTGGCTTCCTGGCTTCCTTAATTGGATACCAACTAAACTGGTGCTTAATTCTTTGGTTTTGAACAATGTTTCACAGTTATGCAAGATGTTAGCATTATAGAAAGCTAAATGAAGTTTGTGTTCTTGACTTTTCTATAAATCTAAAATTATTCTGAAATTAAAAGTTAAAAAAAAAAGTGAAAATTTGCCACATTGAGGATAAAGCATCAAACCGTATTCCAAAAACTGAATGAACTCAGACAATCCCAGTGACATTCATGCCATCATATGTCATATTGGAACTGCTTAGAAATAAATAAAAAGAAAACAAATCTTGGGGGAGCCAGTGTTGTGACATAGTAGGCTAAGCCCTGGCCTGCACGTGCATCCCATATGGGTGCTGGTTCATATCCCTACTGCTCCTCTTCTGATCCAGCTCTTTGCCATGGCCTGGGAAAGCAGAAGATGGCCCAAGTCCTTGGGTCCCTGCACCCTTGTGGGAGATCCAGAAGAAGTTCCTTGCTCCTGGCTTCAGAGAGGCCCAGCTCCGGTTGCTGTGGCCATTTGGGGTGTGAACTCGTCGATGGATGATCTTTCTATTTGTTTCTCCCTCTCTATCTGTAACTCTACCTCTCAAATAAATAAATAAATCTTTAAAAAAAAAAAACAAATCTTGGAACCTGCTACATAGAAACTATGTATTTCCTATTAAAGCAAACATCAAATGAAAGTGGGTTTCTTACCAGTCACCATGGAGGCCACAAAGAATTGGCACATTTTTCCAGTGTTGAAAGAACTGAACCAACAACCTCAAATTCTAAATCCAAGGACACCATCCTCTCAGATAAAGACATAAAGACATTTTCAGGCAAACGAAAACCAAGAGACTTTGTCTCCAGCAGACCTACCCTTAAAGAACTAAAGAAATTTTTCAAAGAGAAATGGGAATAAAAGTGAAAGATCCCACGACTTCAGGAGGGAACAAAGAACAATACAGTGGACAAACAGAAGAGTAAACATTGAATAGACATTATTCCTCATGAACTAGCGCAATTATGTTTGGTGTTTGAAGCAAAATTAGATCATGTGATATCAACATATGTACCGAACATACTTAAGGCATTTATATCCCAGGGTCTTTCTATGTTGTTTTGAATATAGCATGTCTAGGGGTCCGTGCTGTGGGGTAGCAGGTAAAGCTGCCACCTGCAGTGCTGACATCACATATGGGCGCCAGTTCGAGTCCCAGCTGCTCCTCTTCAAATCCAGCTCTCTCCTTTGGCCAGGGAAAGCAGTAGAAGATGGCCCAAGTTCTTGGGTCCCTGCACCCGTGTGGGAGGCCCAGACAAGCTCCTGGCTCCTGGCTTTGGATCAGCACAGCTCCAGCCGTTGCAGCCAATTGGAGAGTGAACCAACAGATGGAAGACCTCTCTCTCTCTCTGCTTCTCCTTCTCTCTGTGTAACTGTGAAATTCAAATAAATAAATAAATCTTTAAAAAAAAAACCTAAATAGACATTTTTCAAAAGAGGAAATCCAAATGGCCAACAGACATGAAAAATGCTCAGGATCACTATCAATCAGGGAAATGCAAATCAAAACCACAATGAGGTTTCACCTCACCCTGTTAGAATGGCTTACATACAGAAATCTACCAACAACAGATGCTGGTGAGGATTTGGGGAAAAAAGGACATTAATCCACTGTTGGTAGGAATGCAAACTGGTAAAACCACTATGGAAGTCAGTCTGGAGATTCCTCAGAAACCTGAATATAGCCCTACCATACAACCCAGCCATCCCACTCCTTGGAATTTACCCAAAGGAAATTAAATTGGCAAATATAAAAGCTATCTGCACCTTAATGTTTATTGCAGCTCAATTCACAATAGCTAGGACATGGAATCAACCTAATGCCCATCACAGAAGACTGGATAAAGATATTATGGGATATGTATTCTACAGAATACTATACAGCAGTAAAAACAACAATAACAACAACAATGAGATCCAGTCATTTGCAACAAAATGGAAGAATCATCTGGAAAACATCATGCTGAGTGAAATAAGCCAGTCCCAAAGGGACAAATATCATATGTTCTCCCTGATCTGTGACAACTAACTGTGCATCTAAAAGGAAACCTGTTGATGTGCAATGGACACCAAGATAAACAGTGACTTGATTAGCCCTTATCCTGACTGTCTGGGAAGAACTTACTTCTTTATACCTTTTAGTATTTTTTTGTTCTACTTAAGATCATTGGTTGAACTATTTTTTTATTTTTATTTTTTTGACAGGCAGAGTTAGACAGTGAGAGAGAGAGAGACAGAAAGATCTTCCTTTTTCCGTTGGTTCACCCCGCAAGTGGCCACTATGGCCAATGCGTTGCAGCCGGCGCACTGCGCTGATCCAAAGCCAGGAACCGGGTGCTTCCTCCTGGTCTCCCAAGTGGGTGCAGAGCCCAAGGACCTGGGCCATCCTCCACTGCACTCCCAGGCCACAGCAGAGAATTGGACTGGAAGAGGAGCAACGGGGGATGAACTCTTTATTAACACACAATTATTCTTAGGTGTCTAAATTTAACTGAAAAGTGATCCCTGTTAAATATAAGAGTAGGAATAAGAGAGGGAGGAGATGTACATTTATATTTATTAAATAAAAGTTAAAAAAAGAAGGCAACTCCCTTTGAAAATATAATAAAAAATAAAATAAAACAGTATGTTTAGGAGTTAAATTATACTAGGTGGAAATGTTCTTCTACCTAATGCAAAAATTCCCTTTGCCTTTTCAAATTTAGATTCTGTGGCTTTTCTCAAAAAGTTGGTGTGTCTTTTAAATAAAGAAAATCAAGGGAAAAAAATTAGAGCCGCAACAAGCACTGCTGTATGATGCACTTAAGAACCAGAAATGTGGGGCCAGCATTGTGGAGCAGCAGGTTAAACTGTTGATCACAACATGCCATTCCATATCAGAGCAATGGTTCAAGTCCCAACTGCTCCATCAGCTCCCTGCTAATGAATCTGGGAAGGCAGCAGAAGGTAGACTAAGGCTTGGGCCCCTGCCACCCATGTGTGAGAGCAAACTGGAGTTCCTGTATCCTAGCCCTAGCCTAGCCTAATCTGGCTGTTGTGGCCATTTGAGGAGTGAACCAGCAGATGGAATGTTAAAGATATCTCTCTCTCTCTCTGTCTCTCACCCTTTCTCTCCCTTTCTGTCATTTTGCCTTTCAAGTAATACAATAAATCATAAAAACAGCTTAAAATATAACTCAGTTTATGTGATAAAATTTCTTCTAGAAAATACTTTTTAAATCTCAAGATCCAAGATTCATGATACTATGCATTGTGCTGCAATTTTATTAGTTTTCTTAATCAGTGGTTTGATTTTATATCTCAGTAACTCATATATTTTTCAGATTCTACAGGAAAATGTGGACCTCCTCCCCCAATTGAAAATGGAGACATCACCTCATTGTCATTACCAGTATATACTTCAGGTTCATCCGTGGAGTATCAGTGCCAGTCCTTGTATCGACTTGAAGGTGACAAGAAAATAATGTGCAGAAATGGAAAGTGGGGAAAACCACCAAAATGCTTACGTAAGTACTTTAACATTCTCATGGACTCTGGAAAGTCAGTGATGTAAGAATGGAGTCTTGCTGTTTATAGTAGAGTTTTCACAGATGACTAATAACTGTTGTGATGAATGCTTGACCTCCAAGTATTTATATGTGAGGTAATAAAGTTTAGAAAACTTTTCATTTTTATATTTTATTTTAAAATATTTAATTGATAAAATTGCATGAATTTCAAGTGTACAGATTGATGATTTGATCTATTTCTAATGAAATGCTTACCACAATGAGTAACCAATACACTATTATTAAGTAAAGTCAACATGCTTGTATGTTGAGCCCCAAGATCTTATTCATCTTACACCTTACAATTTGCACTCTTTTACCTAAATCTTAATCAAACAAAACCAGTAGTGAAAGGTTCTAAAATGTGGAGTTCTTGACATGATAATTGTTATGACTCTTTGGAATTAATATCATTTTCACATGTTAAAAATCACATTTTTATATCACTGACTATTTTTTCAACTTTTATTTAAAAAATATAAATTTCCAAAGTACAACTTTTGGCTTATAGCGGCTTTTTTCCCCCAAATGATCCTCCCACCCACAACCATCCCATCTCCCACTCCCCTTCCCAATCCATTCTTCATCAAGATTCATTTTTAATTATCTTTATATACAGAAGATCAATTTAGTATAAACTAAGTAAAGATTTCAACAGTTTGCACCCACACAGAAACACAAAGTTTAAAGTACTGTTTGAGGACTAGTTTTACCATTAATTCACATAGTACAACACATTAAGGACAGAGATCCTACATGGGGAGTAAGTACACAGTGACTCCTGTTGTTGATTTAACAATTGACGCTCTTATTTAAGACGTTGGTAATCACCTGAGGCTCTTGTCATGAGCTGCCAAGGCTATGGAAGCCTCTTGAGTTCGCCAACTCCAATTTATTTAGACAAGGTCATGGTCAAAGTGGAAGTTCTCTCCTCCCTTCAGAGAAAGGTACCTCCTTTGATGGTCCATTCTTTCCACTGGGATCTCACTCACAGAGATCTTTCATTTAGTTTTAGTTTTTTTTTTTTTTTTTTTTTTGCCAGAGTATCTTGGCTTTCCATGCCTAAAATACTCTCATGGGCTTTTTAGCCACATCCAAATGCCTTAAAGGCTGATTCTGAGGCCAGAGTGCTGTTTAGGACATCTGCCATTCAATGAGTCAGCTGTGTATCCTGCTTCCCATGTTGGATTGCTCTCTCCTTTTTCTCTCACTTACTATTGTTTAAAAGTTTTATTTTATTTTTTGGAAAGGCAGAGTTACAGATAGATTTCTTCCTTCTGCTGATTCAATCCTCAAATATCTCTATTAGTGAGGGCTGGGCCAGGCCACGTACAGGAGCCAGGAGATTTACCTGGGTCTCCTACACAGGAGGCAGGATCCCAAACACATGGGTCATCTTATGATGTTGTCTCAGACCATGAGCAGGTAGCTGGATCAGAAATGGAACAGCCAAGACTTGAGCCAGTGCCCATATGGGATAATGCAGGTGGCAACCGTATCTGCTACACCACAATGCCAACCCCAATCACTTATTATTTTCACTGAATTTCATCAATATGAATCTCTAAAGACCTTCTATAGAAAGGTTTAAGAAAGACTTCCTGGTCTATTATATAACATTCTACTTCTAAACATGAACGTTTTTGGAGAATATTTGTGTACTATTTAATGTTTTCTGTTCATTTTTCTGCTTTCAGATGCATGTGTAATATCAGAAGAAATCATGGAAAAATACAACATAACATTGAAGTGGAAAGAAAGACAAAAGCTTTATTCCCAAACAGGGGACACAGTTGAATTTATATGTAAATATGGATATCATCCAACAACTTCACAGTCATTTCGAAAAACATGTCAGGATGGCAAGTTGGAGTATCCTCGTTGTGTGAAAAAAGCAGGAAGATATTACCATTATTAAAATTTTCAACTTTATTCAGAGTTTTTATTAATGTAGTTCTCAATTTTGTTTTTCAAGTATTGTTTAACTCATCTTTGCTGTTAATTAAGGATATGTATTGATCTGTGATGATGAATTTATAATCTGAGAGACTAGTGCCACACTTCTTTTAAAGATTATTAGCTAATGTATTTGAAAGGCAGAGTGACTAAGAGGGAGAGGCATAGAGAGAGTGAGAGAGAAAGAGATCTTCCATTCCCCAAAGACCTGCAACTGCCTTGGCAGGGCCAGGTTCAGGGTAGGAGCCAGGAACTCCCTCCAGGTGCCCCACATGGGTTTCAGGAACCCAAGTACTCCAATTACCATCTGCTGCCTCCAATGTATATTAGTTGTAAACTGAATTGGAAGCACAGATCTGCTGGCTCTATGATATGGGACGTGAGCATCCCAGGCTGTGAGTGTCACACTTCTCAGAAGCACTACACTAAACCTGATGAACGAGGAGCAAGGACTTAGCCTGGTGGGATACCTACATCACATGTGAGAATGCCTGGGTTCATGTCCTGGTTCCACTCCTGATTCCAGCTTCCTGCCTCACTGGGAGGCAGCAGGTTGATGGTTCAAATGGTTGAGTCTCTGTCAACTATCTGGGAGACCTGGACTGAGTTTCCTCCTCAGCCCAGCTCCAAAGTTTGTTGAGCATTTGGGTTGTGAGGCAGTGGATGGGAACTCTATGTCTGTCTGTCTTCCTCTCACATGAATAAATAAAAATTAATAAATAAATAAAACTCGATGAAGCAAAATTCTGTGTTTCCTGTTCCTATAACGTCTATGGTGAGAAATTAGCTATACTTACTTCAGTCTGGCCTCTATGCATCACTCTCTTAACACTCTCACAGCTTTGTAGCTAGTGGTTTGGAGGCATTTCACAGGAAATGCAATGTATATTATTTTCATCTAGAAAATTATACCACACAAAAATATAAAATCAAATACTCATATCTTATTTATAACAATAAGATATAATTACTCCTGAATACCTAGCCATCGGTAGATGAATTATACCACAATTATTAAATACATAAATTTCTATAATACATCAATCTAGCAGTGATATAAACAAATCATTAAAGAAAACTACAATTGAGTATATGACTATCATAACCCTGACACAAAAATCAAAGTTACATGACACACAAATGCACATATACACACATAAGACTTTGTTTCCTGATTTAATGTTTCTTTCTTAAAAAACTGTCAGGATATGGGGTAAAATATGTTAAAATTACTTGTGTTTAGAAATAGTAATGTTAGCAGCTACTTAATTTTCTTATCCTTATGTGTATTTTTCAATTGTTCTACTTTAAACATACAATAGTTGAACCACAAGAATATATTATTTTAAAATTCAGATGTTTAAGAAGAAAAAGCAATATATGATTAGTATATAGGGGCAGCACTGGTAATGAACTTAAGGCCGAGTAACATTTTAGTGATATTTGTCATAAATAAGAGTTTTAATTGTTAAAGGAACAATAGAAATCTCTGTGCACTTACTTCCCATGTAGACCCTCGTCCTTAATGAGTTGCAAGTCTTGTTCTCAAACTGCTCTATATGTTGTGATGTGCATGGGTGCAAACTGTTGAAATCTATGCTTATCATGGAGTTGGTCCTCTGTATATAAAATCAAACTAAAAATGAACCATAATGAAGAAGGAGATGGGAGAGGGTCAGGAAGTTGAGGTGGGAGGGTGGGAAAGGGAGAAGGAAGCACTATATTCCTAAAGTTGTATCTATGAAAAAAATGCATTCATTAAATAAGAACTTTATAAAAAGCATTCTTTAATATAATTTTTGTTGAAGTACCTCAAATATTTATCCATTCAAATTTTCACTAGAAAATTTTTAAATCCTAAAAAAGAAGAAATCTTTAGGCTGTAAATAAAGATGTAAATAATGAGATAAATATTTTTAAATGATACTTCATTACTTTTGTTTTAATTTTATTTATAAAGATGTATTTATTTGAGAGGCAGAGGTACAGACAGAATAGGAAAGACAGAAAGAATGGGTTTTCTATCCACTGATTCACTACCCAAGTGACTGCAATGGCCAGAGCTTGGCCTATCTGAAGCCAGGAACCAGGAGCTTCTTCCTGGTCTTGCTCGTAGGTGCGGTGGCCCAAGCACTTGACCATCTCCCACTGCTTTCCCAGGCCAGAAACAGAGAGCTGGATTGAAAGTGGAGCAGCAGGGACACAAACTGGCACCCATATAGGATACCAGTGCCTGAAAAGGAGGCTTAACCTACTATGCCACAGAACCGCCCCCACATCATTACTTATTATTGCATAAAATTTCTTGGTCTATTCTATGGTTGTTCTCATGTTTGTGATGCTTATCTGGAATGAATGAAGGACTGCCAGCTTTCTCAAATTTGAAGGAAATTGTTATAATTAGTAAGTTATCCTTGTGTTTTATGTTAACATTCGAAATACCTTGTCACTTGGACCACTATAAAAAATGAATAGGAAGTGGGTGGTTCACAGAACCAACACAAAGCACCCACTGCCTTGGTGTCTGGTGAGGGCTCACACTCTGTTTGATGGATGGCAGCTTCTTGCTATATTCTCACCTGGTTGAAAGGACCCTCATGACCTCATCACCTTGAAAAGCCTGTCTTCCAATATATTCACCAGTGGTGGCTGTGGTTCATCATATGAATTTTGAGGGAGAAATTTTCAGATCTTAGCATCGAGCAGTGATTCAGGAAAACATTCAATGCAAATGGAAGCAGAAAGAGAAAAAAATTGCTATACTTGCACCACAAAATAATAAAATATAAGCCCAAACCTACAAATCAGATAACAATGTCATTATATAGCTCTAAAAGGATCAATTTACCAAGAGGATATAACAACTGTAAGTAAGAGCCTACAACTACTAAAAATTCATGGAAAATAAAAGGTAAGTTTATTTGGTGCAAAAAAATTTGAAAGTTGTGCATTAGAGATACACCCAATTTGGAAACCACTAAACACCAAAAGAAATATTAGTA